GATTGTTTCCTCGTGGATAAACACTCATTTAACAAAGCTGTTAGTATTATAACCTGAACATTGGGAGGTTTCCCATAAATAAACAAGAATGCCCACTCACTTTACTTACGTAATATAACTATGGTTTTATATAACTGTCAGTTTTTCCATACATTAACAGAAATGCAAATTGCATACATGATTGTTACATTCAGTAGTTATTTTAACAAGACCGTCTTCTCTGAACGTCTTCTCTGAACGTCTTCGCTGAATGTCTTCTCTGAACGTCTTCTCTGAACGTCTTCTCTGAACGTCTTCGCTGAATGTCTTCTCTGAACGTCTTCGCTAACCACGACCTGTGCATTCAGCCATCGTCTCACAACTATCCATTCATAGAACTGTATTGTCCTTCTCGGCGATTCAACGTCCCGCCATGCATGTATTTTACTACGATTCGATATCATTTATTCGTTTTACTGATTTCAAAAATATGGTTGAACTATTTTTGAAGTTCAAAGAGCAGTAAGTATTTAAAATTTAACTTTGAATGCATGTGTATGTGATTTGTTTTAGTGTCTTATCCTGCAACGGAGCTGGAACTTATATGGGATCGTGTGATTATGAGAAAAGATATTCATGTACCCTCGTTTACATTGGGTGTCCCTGTAACGGAGTCATGTGAGAGTGAAGAGTTCAATCTAGGTACGTAAATATGGTATTAGACGCACTACCAGTTAAGTAGACTTCTCTTCAAGTTGTTTGTTTGTTTGTTTTTTGTGATTTAATCAATAAAATACAATATTATGTGAGTGTATAAATAGCGAATGCCGAGTTTCCGCGAAGCAAACAATATACTAGTAGTACAGAAGATAATATTTGGTAGTCGTAGTCCTAAATAACTATTAAAAATAGCTAGACGTTTCTAGCAGTGGCTCTTTATCGATAGCTTAGAAGAAAATGGTAGTACTAGTAGTACATGTACATGAGTGTGCAACGTTACAGTGATCGTTATCGTTTGTAAACACTTTATTATGACTTTGCGTCTACCTTCACAGTTGAAATGTCGTGTCTGAATGTCGTTTTCCCACTAAAAAGATACATCACTCAATTTCTGCTGCAAATTTACCTGACAAGTACGCTGGTAGTTTTCTTGTCGTGGATATCATTCTGGATCAACTCTCGTTCTGAGCCGGCTCGAATTACACTTGGTATGACGTCGGTGTTGACATTAAGTACCGAGATCACTGGTGTCCAGGCAGCCATGGCAGTTTCATCTAACGCTTCCGTAAGTTGCTTCATGTTCCAATTGTTCTTCATAGACTGTATCTACAAGCACTGGAAGAACAATTGTATTATTTTTCAAATGAATTTCGTTTGTAGGCCATTGACGTGTGGTTGGCTATGTGTCTCATATTTGTATTCGCTGTCTTGATTGAATTTGCTGTGCTGAATCATGGAAACACAAAGCTGGCACGTATGTCACGTGTAAATTGCCCACAGCAGCCAAAGGTAAGAAGTCAATAGACAGCTAGTGCAAACCAGACTTTCAACACCCATACACTCAAAAAATAAAACATACACTAAAATAAATAATGTCTTTCTGTTGGAAAAGCTCTGCCTAACCTCGCTATGGCAAAGTTGTCCTCCATGGAAATGTATAAAGCTATAACGCTGCGTGACTTGGGCCCAATTTACACAACTACTGCCTACTGTTTTCGCACAGAAATTTAACTTATATATAGTTAGTTGTTTTTGCGCTCAATATTTTTTTCTTTAAACAAATTGTCAAACAATATGAAACACATAAAAATCCAAATGTACGTCTATTACGTCTAACCCATGTCTACCCCATTTCCCATGGACGTGCTTTCTGTCTTAGTCTGTCTATTTTAGCTGTTCATATTAGGTAATTTTTAGTTGCCGTCTGTCTTCCATCCCGCGTTCTCATCTGTCAACAATTGCGGGAAAATATTTCCTGACATTGTCAGTAATCCAATATTTTTAGCGAATGGTTTTGTGATTTTAATAGAAAATTACATTTTCGACTTCTTTTTAAAACACTTCGTGATGATATAATTAATTCTCGAATTTTAACGGTTTTCTTTTTGTCATTTTTGGTGAAAATGCATTATTTGAACTTTTAAAAACCGTTATTCAATTGAAAATATTTGCCTTTTTTAGTCTTTATAACTCAGGGGATCCCTGTAACGATTCAAGTATTACTGAAAGCTTTTTGGACAATAATGATATTCCAATGCTCAATCAGAAAACTCGAGAGATTTGTCAGGAGGAAATTACTGTTCAGGAGGGGCTCAATGCACTAAATAGCATGAACAAAAATAGAACTCCAGCAATGATGGTCTGACCGTTGAATGTTATCTAGTTTTTTGGCCTTTATTATGACCCTATGTAGTTAAATCACTAAATTGTGCAACAATTAAAGGGAATATGTCTAACAGTCAGTCACAGGGGGTAATTACACTTATAGAAAAGGCAGGCAAGGATAAAAGACATATAGGTAATTGGAGGCCAATAACATTACTTAATGTTGATTATAAGATTGCTGCTAGATGCATTGCTAAACGCCTAGAACATACTCTGGATAAATTAATCAATGAAGGTCAAACAGCATTTATTAAGAATAGGTCAATTAGTGACTGTGTTCGTGTCATTGAGGGAATTATGGAATACATAAAAAAATTATAATAAAAATAGGGTGCTCTTAGCTATTGATTTCCAAAAAGCCTTTGATAGCCTTGAATGGCATTTCATGTTCAGTTGTCTACGTAAATTCAACTTTGGCCCCTCTTTGTTAGGTTGGGTACATGCCTTTCATTCAAATCCATCTAGTTGTGTTACGAATAGAGGTCAGTCAACATGTTATTTTTACTTTTCTGGGGGAGTCAGACAGGGGTTCATCTATCACCCGTATTGTTCATTCTATCATTAGAAACGCTTTTGAAAAAGCTGCAATATGATAATGGAATCAGGGGGATTAATATTGGTGGTTTTGAAATAAAACATTCTGCGTATGCTGTTTTATGTCAGACCTTCGAACTGCTGAGAACCTCCTCACTCTTCTTCACCAATTCTTACTTTTGTCAGGTTTAAAAATTAATTATTATAAGACTGAAGCAATGTGGCTAGGAAATTGGAGGCAACGGAAAAAATACCCCGTTTGGAGTAAAATGGCCTATGTCACCTATCAGGGTTGTGGGTGTTTACTTTCTTACTACTCAACAGATGCATATCTAATTCCTCCAATTAATTTGCGGCTTTTTCAAAGTAAGATTGGTATAATTTTCAATTGCATTAACTGCGATTCATTTTATAAATCAATCTTTTAGCGCCATTACAGACGCCTTTTGTGTGTTTAAATGTCTTATTTTAGTACGTTTTCTCGTTTTTGTGTGTAGTTTATGGCCTGTGTACCTGAAATAAAGAAATAATAACAATAAAAGTCTTGAAACCATTAAAAACTTCTAGAATATGCGAAACCTCACATTAATTAGTAAAATACAAATCATTAAATCTGTTTTTATACCCAAATTAACTGGGTTAAAAGGTATTTGTCATCATATTTTCATCCATGGAAACGGTTTCTAGATCATTATTTAAAACTACTGTGGGGGGGGGAACAACTAATTTGTAGATACTTTCTCAATGATTGCACTACATATTACATTACCACCGTTTTATTGTACAGAGATTATATGGAATAATACAAACATTCTTATTCAAAATAAAAGTATATTTTATTCAGATTTACTGGATCTAGGAATTGTTTATATAGCTGATATCTTTAAGTTTAAAAAATTGGAATGACTTAAATAAACCGCATTAAGTTTTACGATGGCAGGGTCTCATTGACTTAATTACTATGCCTTGGAAGGCATGAGAAGCTTACGTCACGTGCATACTCCGTTGAGACAATATCGTCGGCTTATTAACTTCTTTTGTGACCTTTCATTTTATTCTTCAACCAGAGTTGATGAAATCACTACTTATATTCTCATCAATGATTAGATGAACATATGTGTTAAAACACTTATAATAGAATGTAAACAAAGCCAAGGTCGTTTGTTTACCTAATATATGATGTGTATGTAACTTTACATTCCCTTATCATTGCACGGCTCTGCTGAAACGAGCTTTTTCGACCATCAGGCCGTTTTTTTACTAGTTTGCTGCTTTCTAGTTTTGATGATGTTTGTTTTTATTTTGACTCTCTATTTTTTCGCATTTTCCTCTTCCTCGTAGGAAAACAATAAACCTGTGAGTGGCGTTGTGGTAGAGATGGAAATAGAGGAGAGTCAAGAGAAAGACAAGCAGCAAACATACGTGGGATATCGAGCAGGTCGGACACAGAGATTTAAAAGATTCTTCCGTGTTGAAGAGCCAGATGATCTTGATCGAATTTCACGCGTTATGTTTCCCACACTATTTGTCATATTTACTGCTATTTACTGGGCAAGCTACCTAATGGAATCATGAGTTTTACAATCACGATTCAGATGTAATGTTATCATGCGATATGCCATGCCAACTTATTAGAGATATCTTAGCAGTGGCAGGTGCATTTAGCATTAATATTCATTTAATAACTATACCATCTTTAGACAACACGAGTATGTGGTTTATTTGAATATATCTTGGATGCAGTCATACTGTATCAATCACTAGTACTGTATCAATCACTAGTACTGTATCAATCACTAACAACACAACCATTGTTCAGTTCTGTAGGTCCAGCACTCTGTAATACTGTTTTTCGATTCATTGTCGTTTTGATTGACATTGATATTTGATTGACTATATGACTACTCACATCACTAACACGATATTTTTAAGTCAAACACTCTGTAATACTGTTTTTCGATTCATTGTCGTTTTGATTGACATTGATATTTGATTGACTATATGACTACTCACATCACTAACACGATATTTTTAAGTCAAACACGTCACATAACAACAGCATGAATTCATAAATGACACAGAGCATCAGGAAAGATCTGCCATTGTGGCAAGCAGTTATAAATAATTATAGTAATTGGAATTAATCTGTCGTCGTTCTATTGTATGTGTGTTCGAGCAGTCTAATTATTGTACAATCAATCGATGTCAATGCATGTGTTAGATTATTAAAATAACATATGTATTACGTAACCCTCTGTATTATACATCCGTCACCGTAACGCCATAAGTTACAGCGTGCCGTAATGTTGCGGTATTATGGGGTATAAGGAAATGCGAATTCCAAATATGGAATTATTACGCGCATAAACGTCTTTAATAATAAAAACAAACATGGCTGCCATCAGGGCTGATCGGACTCCACGCACAGAAGTTCGCTCATTAGGTTCTAAACTTTTGAATTTCGTCATTTCGTGGAAGGAAAAGATGTATAATAATAAAATAATAGTAATACGCCGCGCATCGACCTCTGCTGCGCGTGGGTCGATACTTAAGCTGTACTGCCTTCGTGCATACTTTGAGGTATTCTCGTAATAACCTCGTAGTATTATGATTATATCGTAAATCATCGGTTGACTGATGTAAACAATGCAATAGCTCCATTCTTACACTTATATGTTGCCATAATTACGTATATAATACAATCAACATTGTTTTAATTATATATAATATAATAAATTTGATTAATTTAACGATTTGAAAAAACAATTTTGAGTAGGCTAACTTTATGTACTTCAAAAATGACTTATTCAGTGATTTACCGATTGTTACATTTTGATGGCAGTGTTTTATGTTTTGTTAAATAACACCTGATATACTGTAAAATGACTAATTTTCACTGGGTTTAAATTTCACTGATTTAGCATTTCAGGCATATTCAGTGGGTTTTAAATTCACAGTTTTTACATTTAGATAATGTGTTCTATGCTAAATTTTACATATTCACTGGGTTTTAATTTAGCGCATTTTCCAGTCAGCGAAATAAGCTAAATTAAATCCCAGTGAATAGTTAACCCTTTTACAGTAGTAATAATGTAATTTGATCGGCGGAGCAGTAAACGTCTGGGCTGTGTATTTGTGTCGATCTCGATTATTTTTGTTATCCAATTAAACGCCGCTTTTAACGCACTTGCCCTCACCGTGACCCGACGCGTTCACCTATTTCAACAAAATGTCGATTTATTTCCACGCGCCTGTCATTTATTTAGGACCTGTGATTTGTCATTTTTTTAATTATTTTATAGTGATCACTATAGTCTAATGTTAGAATGTCAAAATATGTTCTCTTTTATTTTAATTTTGAAAGTTTTACTCAGACGATCGATGAAATAAAACAGTGTAGTGACGTGCCTAGTAACCTGCTAAGTAACGAGATAATTCCGACGTCGAATTCTATTTTGTCCAGCAACAGTGTACAAACGTGCGCCGGTGTCGGTGACGATCACGGTGACCAGCTACACCAGAACGGACATATTTCGCATCTAACTCAACCCCATGCAACAAAAATTGATACTATGTGTTCATTATGGTCCATTCTTCCTCGACGAACAAGTACATAAGTGACAATATAGTCAAAGACGAGAAAACTGCACAAGAAATTTGCCTTATTTACACGTATCTGCAATGCAAGCTGCCAAGCGACTTCCCCTTCTGACGTCACAAGGGGAATTTCTGTATGCAAATGGAAGCTAATGAGGAGCCTCGTTTTAAAATACACAAAAATAAAGTTGCCGTAGACTGACTTTAAAACACATTATTTCACTTAAAAAAATAATTCATGCTTAGAAACATAAAAATTAATAATATTTATGTATCAATTGATAATTTTAGGCGTGAAAATAGCAGCCATTTCACAGGTACTTTAAGATGAGTAAAGCATGTATATATCTCGTCACCTGCCAGGGAACCAGCGACGAGCGAATACACTGAAATATTGTGTGTGGTAAGTGTAGTAGTTTGCCATCATGACCATGTGCTTCGGGCATTGTTATCATTGTTATGAACTGAAGCACGGGAAAGACGTGTGGAACGTGTGAGAGAGTAATGTAAATTTGATGACTATTAAGGGGAGCTGTTTTTATCGGGCGCATTTACCAGTCAGTTGACTGAAAGTATGCAGTCGCGTTACAGAATATATTGTGTCGGGTTCAAAGCTCATTTTACATACTATGTTCGGGCTGGATATTTTTGTCGTAAATATTAGACAAACTACCTTAGGTGTGATGGTCATAACTTCGTTTTGTCAAGTTTCTATAAGATTTACTGTGGCACGGTGTAGACGCCGGGATTTGGATTGGAACTTGTTTTTTTCATGTTTAAGTAATGTAATTGTATTGTGAATGTACGCACTTAATGAGTGGATATCTAGAGTCGATATTTGCAGGAAACATTTGTTTACGTCATGTATACTAGTCGTCGCTAATTGTTTGAGACCACGCACATTGAGTGTCCGGTGTTGAGTTGCGTATCATAGTTTATCGCGTTTGTATGTACTTTCATTGCAACCTGCATTTATGTTTTTGTAAGTTAACTGTCTACCAGTTGTCAATTTTGCAGGGCAGCAGCCCAAATTTCACTACTTCAAGTTTATGCGTAAATTAGCATCCATGCTAGTTCTGTGTGTTATGTTTAGTAATTGACCAAGACACAGTCTCTAGTTAATACTACTAAGAACTGCTTTATTCAACCCCAAATAAGTTTAAGTAAACAAGGTTACATAATTTGCATAATCAGGACTTCCTGTGTGTACAGGGTCAATTGCCATATGTTAGTAGTTAACATGCATTGTTGATTACATATCATGTACGATTTTTGTAACACTGTTAAACCCAAAACAATGCCCCGACGGCGTTTTGAAGATAAACACATTGTCAATCATTTGTGAAAATTTCAAAACAAAAGGTCAAAGCGTCTAGGGGCTATTTTTTTTTAAGTTCTGAGATGTGCACTAAAAAGAAGCTGAGATAATTGCTAATTTGCATAACAATTGACTCAGTAAGAAGTTTGCTAATGTTCATAATTAAAATGGCTGTAACAGTTCCAAATTTAAATGTATTACCGTTTTGTTAAAAGTTAAATATAGTGCATAATAAGGAGATCCCGTCATTTCGTTTTTTCACAATGTTACTTTTTTATTATTTATGTACAGCCTTGCTAAATCTTGCTAAGCATTCAAAAGGGAGAATGTTTGCATCTGTTATCTATATTTTAAAATCGTTTTTTGAGTATGTTCCACTATTCACAATTCTACAAAATGTTAACAGTCTATAACCAAGACTGTTTGGATACTAAAAAGCAAACAAAAAATGTCACCCCCAAGTGTCCACGAACCTGCATCTTAATTTAAAAGGCCGGGCTGTAGAGTACGGGGAGTAAGGTTCGTTTAAACAAACGAATGTGTACTGAACACCGAGAACTGTGACTGAACACATGACTGTAACCTTCATGTATACTTATTTAGTTTTCTTATTTTTTGAATAAATATGATACGTTTTAAATTACCATATTGTGTGCGAGACAATGCATTGTTTCTCATAATGTTTCGGCCATAGTTAAAACTCATTATTGTGTAAACGGAGTGTAGACGTGACGTACGGCTGTGTAAGCTTCTCATGCCTTCCAATGCATAGTAATGAAGTCGTACGCAAGACGCCACTAAGGAACGACTTGTTGTCATTTCGTTGAAATGGGTAATGTAGTGGGGACCATAAAAATCTATAGCGAACGATGCATACTGTTATGGGAAATTATACATAAAATCGTCAGTGAGATGCCTTCAAAGGGAAGCTTAACCTCTGAAGATGGCGACGTATTTGACATTTTGAAGACCGGTTTTAGATTGTGGTGCCACCCGGAAGGGTCATTATTCAGCCATATTTGTTATGACCTCTTATCATGCGTGAGAAAAAAATAGGTAATCGCCTAGTTTCGAGGGGGGTTAAACACGACAGGGTTAAAGTGTCAAATTACGTCATATACCCGCCAAAATGTTTCTTTTTCCCAGAAAGTATAGATTGCATTAAAAATATTACGTAATACATCAAAGGAAATATATTTTATTGTAGAATAAAAATATGCAATGATACTATAAATTTATACTTTTGGAGTTATCGTTATTTTGGTTGATTTTATTTTGCCATTTTCGGACTCTTTTTTATAAATTACTCAAAATGAAAATGATGTAATTTATGTACGCCATACTTTATCTTACTGTGTTACAAATCGAAATATTATCAATACTTTCAGCCCAATAGTATCTATGTTGATATTCACCATTCCCTATCTCCCCAAATATTCAATGGCATTCATTACTGGGCCAACGTCAAGGGTAACATTCACAAATGACATATTCACTTCGTATCTCTGCACGTAGGTTAGATTACTGGAACATTAATTGATGATAGGTAGGTATGTAACATTAGTTTTCTTAGGCAAGAATTGTGCAGTACTTTAGCGTAGTAATAACTGCCAGCCAGAAAATTTAGGAAAGAATGCTTGAAGTCATGGGCCAAAATATG